AAGAAAATCCATCCACTAATGTCCAGTCCATCCACTAATGCCTGATACAAGTAAAGAGGTCATTGTTACCTAATGTTGATGTTATTCACTTAAGAGCTTTTAAAGCAAAGGTTTCTGAACCTCAGCACTATTGACCATTCAGCACTATTGGACCAGATAATTCCTTGATGGGGGAGAGAGGTGGTCCTCTGCATTTCAGGATGTGCATTTCAGGATTTTCCTGGCCTCTACTCACCAGAGGCCAGGAAAGTCCACCCCCTCATTGTAACCAGTTATGTCTCTAGATACTGCCAAATGTCCTCAAGGGGGGCAAAAAATAGACCCCAATTGAAAAACCTCTATTTTAAGGGAACCAACTTACGACAAATAAATGAAGTGCTACTTTCCATAATAGTAGCCATTTTTTAAGTTAAAGCATTAGGTGGTACATCCTGAATATATATAAAGGCTCTAGAAGGCTTTAGAAGTCTCAATGTGTCTCATACACACACGCACACACACACACACCATAATGAATTAAGTTTATAAAAGATATTTGGAAATTCTGTGTACTCCTGAGGTTGAATGAAGATCTTACTGACTTTCAAAGACTATCTGGGGTTGCCACCACATAGACTGAAATATCAAGTTTTATGGATAACCAGATGTTCCTAGTAGGATACCTGAAATGCTTTCCTATTCTAGAAATCTATTTCTAAATTGCACCTGCAGCAGGAACATATTTCATGTTACCCCTGGAATGGCACCGTGTTCTATAAAGTATTACTGAACCTCCTTGCACTTCATAATCACCAAGGGAGTTTTTCAAATGTGGGGATTCTTAGGTGTCATCTTTATATTTTAATTTTTCATTTTAAGGTAGGGATCTTAGACAGCTGTAAGTTTAATACGCATTTCCAATTAATTGAAAACTCTGGTCAAGTAGACAGTGTCTGGAAATATGAGCGAAAAGGTCAGGTTCTGGTTGACTCTGACCTACATCAACTTCAACTTTGGAAGAGACCTATAGATTATGCAGAATTCTGCATGAGAATAATTATAGACTCTAAATAGACATACTACATTAGTGTCTTACCCAAATTGAAAGTTCAATTTGAAGATCAAGATTTTAGAAAAATATAATAAAGTACTGCTATGGAATTATTATTTTTAGTAACAGGTGTGCAGTTATCTCTGGTGACAGTTTTTGCTAAAACTCCAAACCATCAATCATCCTTGGTCAGACAGAACAAAGGTTACTAGGCTGAGTCATGTGCAACATGAACAGTCCTTCTCCACACTCTAAAATCACAAGCAGTGGAAAAGACAAACCTCATTCCATTTTCCATTCAACCACATCAGAATGGGTGCTTACTAATTCCATGCTGGAAATATTTGCTTCAGCTGTAAGAAGATATTGATAGAGTTAGAGGTATTTTGAGCCTATTGTGTGGGTTTCTGCCTTAGTCAGTCCTGGCTGCTATAACAAATTACCATAGACTGAGTGGCTTATTAACAACAGAAACTTATCTCTCACAGTTCTGGAGGCTGGAAGTTCAAGATCAGGTGCCAGCCTGGTCAACTTCTGATAAGGGTTCTCTTCTAGCTTTCAGAGGGCTGACTTCTTAGAGTCTCACATGGAGGAAAGAGGGCAAGCTAGCTTTCTGGATTCTTATAAGGGCACTAATCCCATGGCCTAATCACCTGCCCAAGGTCCCACCTCCAAACTTCAACATATATTTTAATAAGTTGTTGGGGAAACACAAAGATTCCGTCTATAACAGCTTCTGTCTCACAGGTTGTGGTTTGCAACCTACAAATAGGGTGACCAACTGTCTTGGAATACCTGTGAGTGAAGATTTCTTAGCACGTGGGATATTTAGTGCTAAAAATAGGACAATCCTATGCAAACCAAGCCAGTTGGTTACCCTTTTTATGACCCCAAGCTGCCTTGCAGCCGATTTCCTCTCCATCATTTTTCCCTAAGGGCCTTCTATTGCTCAAATCTGTCTATATCCCCATCCCACTCACTCCCAACCTGTGGACTTTCTCCTCCTGAAATAAGTAAGCAGACGGAGCCACCTGGCCACAGACCCTGAGTTATAAGTCTCGTGTGATCTGTGAGCCTTTCCCATTGGCAAAATTGAGGTAGAGCAGAGTCAGACAGAACTTGACATTCTCTCCCAATTCAAGACACGGTCCACTTGAATAGTGTGGTTCTATTACTCAGGGGGATTTATGAAACACACAGATTCCGGGACTTTCATCCTAGACTGTCTGGAGAGGATGCCAGAGGAATCTCCATGTTGGAAAAGCTTCCTGGTAATTATGATCCAGAAGAAGGTTCTGGAACAGTATCTAGAATACAGTGTCCCCAGGGGTACCATGAAATATCTTCTTGCTGCATATGCAGTCTACAACTGGATGTATAGGACAGGGGGACCTGTCAAGTCTCTTACTAGGTGGAACTGATCTTGGCAACCCATAAACCCAAGTTAAAGTCCATCAAGTCTATAGTGAATTTGAAACCTACTAGGTCACATGAATTTATACTTATGAATGTTTGCTATTTATGGTTAAGTGGTAGCATATTATATCCAGTTATTCTTGTGAAAATCACTTGTTCATATCACATGTTCAAATCCATGTTTAAAATCACAGATTTTGTCCATGTTATTGACATTGAAAATTACTAATTGAATTTTTACAACAATTATGATTTGAATATTTATATACATGTAAGGCTCAGAGAGAATGCTAGATGTTAAGAAAGAGAAGACTGTTTTTAAGTTACTATAATCTTTTATGGACTTATGGCCATCTGTGTTCATCTTATACAACCACCCTTTCACCAGGAGTAACATGAAAAAACTTAAAGTTTTAAGGTGTCCAAAGATCACTCTAGAAATCCATCCCCGAGTTAAGAACCATGGATCTGAGCATAAATTTCTTCCCTGAGTGACTCATGGGTTAGAAAATGCATGGTCTTCCTGTAAGAGTGCATCTTAGAACCCAGTGAGACCAAATCATCCCATAATTTAAGTCACAAAGGCATCTTACAAATGGCTGTCACTTTGGCAATATCCCTGCCAAATGAAGAGACTCCTTCGGTCCCTGGAAACATCAGTTTTCTAAATGTCTCTACAGTCTAGTTTTCTAGACTCTCTAGGGAGGGCTCTGAGACATTTCAGATTCATCTACATTTCGGAAAATCCAGCGTGCAACCCACAAGCCTCCTCTCTAAAGAGACTTCTGCACATCTCTGCCATTTGATATTTAACATGGAATGTATTGCTAATTCCTCTGTGTGAGCAATCCCTAGATAAACCCTGTATTTATTTTCATTTTATAACAAGTAGTAATAAGCTTGTGCAAAATCTTGCCCATGCCAATGAGAAAATCCAAAACTATTCTTAACTGTTGGAAAGACACATAAAAGTCATGATGAAAAGAAAAAATATATCCACATCCAACATGCAACAAATATTTTACTGAACACTTTGTCAGAAACTTGCATAGTTAATCCAAATCACCAAATAACTCAACGGTTACCTTGTACTTGGTTTGAGACTTCTTTATGTGTTTTGTATTAAATATGTTGTTTGTTTGCAGGGAGTGGAATATGGTGTTGAGGGAAGAAAAGGGATGTTGTCTAAATAATCTGACTTAAATCGCTAATTGGCCTGATGTTGGCTCCTGTTCAATTTTATTTGCCACTCATCCAAACGCAATGGCCAACAGAGCAGGAGAGCTCACTGGGCAACAAAGACAGCCAACTGGCCACATGCATCCATAGGGAAACAACATACCACTCACCAGCAATGCTCTGCTAGGCTTCAGTATCTTACGATGAATAGTAGTACTTCACAGGTCAGTTTAAGGATTTAATATAATACACAAAAAGTGTTTAGAACAGTGCCAGGATCATAGAATGTTTTAAATAATCATAGTAGCTACTACTAGTAGCTATTATATGCTACCATTATTAGTACACATTCCAACACCAGACAGTATTGATTGGCCTGCTTAGACTATGTGGGTCTGTTTTCTTTCTTTTTTTTTTTTTTCTTTAAAAAATTTTTAAATTGTTTATTTATTTTTAATTTGTTTGGGCATATAGTAGCTGTATATATTTATGGGGTCTGCTTTCAACAGGAGTATCTAAAATGTACTATTGCTAATGGTACGGAAACAGATTACCTTTTGTAAATCTTTGCCTTCAACTCCTAGAGATTAAGGACCTCTCATGAAGAAAGCTCCCTTAGCCTATTTCTACCATTCATCTGGAAACCAGTCTGCAAACTTGTGACCTCTTCCTGTTAGAAAACATAAGCTATGCTCTCACTTATATAAATTAGTGTTTCTTTCCTCTCCAAATATTCCTGGCAACATTAATTTGCCTCTGTTGGCTAGCCAATCTACCATCCCCGGAATTAAAGCCAGAGACTAACAGAAAATCAAGACTCAATTTGGGACTTTTTGACAAGGAAATTAATGAAAAAAAAATGGAAACCAAACAAGACAATACAGAATCAGAATGAGCTATCAGTGGAGCACTCACCCCCACTTTCCCTGCATGCATGGATCATCTTACAAGCAGTTAACAGGAAAGGAAGTAGCAGTATGGAAACTTCCCCATCCACAACACATCAAAAAGAAGAATTTCAAGACAGCACAGGTTATCTAGGTCCAGTAATATAAAATAAGCATAGCACTCATGTGTCCCAGGAGACCAAATGGGAAAATGAAGACTAGAAGTTGCGATGGGTACTTTCACCTTACACAAATGACACCCATTTGTGTGTGACTCTTGGTCCTATCTAGACAGTTCTATGTTATAGCAAATCCCAGTCCTTCCTGCTCCCCCTCAGCTCCTCCTGGACAACTCAGAAGCACCTCTTGGGCTGTCATGTTGCCCTAGGCACTGTTTTCCCTCAGGGGCTCAGGCTGAGTGTGAACCAGCAAGAGACTGAACTACCTTGAGAGTACAATTTGGGACAACCCCGAGCCCTGTATCTTACCTGCAGAATCTGTCCCATCGGCAAGCACACTCTGGGTCGATGCTGGCACTGGGTCCTTGACTCCATGCACCTGAGCAGCTTCATCCTGGTTTGTTAAAAATGCAGAGCACAGATCAGATTCGAGGGCTTGGAGCTTCAGCAAGGAATTCTGCCAGCAAAAGCAGAACATGAGGCCAGCTAAGTAGATGCCTAACACACAACAGTGTGTCCGCAGCTCCCGCAATCCTCCGCTGCCTGGCAGGAAGAGGGTGGTGGCAACAGCTGCTTCAGGGAAAGAACTGGTTGTGCCAGAATCATACACGTATCATTCCATATGCAGGCTCAGTTTCTGCCTCATTTAAATCCTAACGTATATGGATTATCTGTGACACATGGGACTGGTGATTTCATCAGCAAGAGACGCTGCATCTGGAGAACCAATCTGAGAAGATATCTGCTTCCCGGGTGCTTGAGGTTTTACGCTTTGCAAGTGTTTCATTCATTGTGCTGACATCAGGAAGCAGAAGACATTAAGTCCCTCCCTGGCTACCATTCATAAAAGCCATCATCCCTCCAAAGCAAAGACAGCAGCAAACCGCAGTGCACAAAGAGTTACTGCTGCAGAGGCTGCCGGGCATCTGGGAGGGGCTTTGAGGCTCCCTAATCCACATCTGTATGCAGGGGTGTGTGTGTGTGTGTGTGTGTGTGTGTGTGTGTGTCTGTGTGTGTCTTCTGAAGTTACTTCTCTCACATGAGAACAGGGTGAGAGAAAAGGGTGGAGGGAGATGACCTTGGTCATTTAGCATAACCCAGCCACTGAGGAAGAAGCAATTCATCTTTCATAGCCCTCAGCATAACCTCCCACCCACTCTCTTCATTTCTCATTTAAAATTTCTCCCATGATTCTTAATAAGAACAAAGTCATACAGATTGACGCATGCATCCTGCCATGATGCAGATACCAGCAAATTAATTCCCCTGACCAGGTGAAAGTGAGTCAGCCTGAGTCCCTGGCCGGGCTCTCTCCCTCTCCACAAGAATGTTCTACAGGTCTCAGCTGCTCTCTTACCCTCCCAGCTCCAGCAGGGGTGGGCACTGGGAGCAGAGTCACTGGTCCTTTCCCTGCTAGGACCCTCCAATACACACAGGCACACACACACTTACTCATACCCTACCCTCTACATATCCTTTCCCCCACACAGTGTCACACCCAGTCCACAGCCCCACCCCTGCCATATACACATCCTCACCCCCTACTCCACACACACATGTATGTACACCCTCCACCCCTAGTGCTCACCTCCATCCTACATGCACTCTTATACCTACCCCTCACCTCCTCCACACAGATGCTCATACCAAACCCCCATACTCTCATCCCTACTCCCCACACCTACAAACACCCCACCTTCCACACACACACACCTTTACCCCATACATACCTCATACCCTCACATCCACCCCCCAAAACCTCCCAGCCTACTTCACACATAACCCATGCACACCCACCCCACACACACCCACATCCAACTCCCATGCCTTCACACACTATTCCACACACACACACCCCTGCTCCATACGTAACTTCACACCTTTCCTCACATAAACATCTTCCCAACATCTCTCACACCCTAACTCCTCCCTTCCATGCAAGACCGAGTCCCACGCACAACCCTTGATCCATTCTGCTGATGTATGAACCTACAGTAGTGTTTTACAAGCTGCCCACCAAGGGATGTCTAAAATCTGTTGTCTCTTCACCATTGTGAAAGCAGCAAGTGCCTAGGTGGGCTCAGGATCACACCTCTGCCATGCCCGGAGATGGGGTGGGACCTGGCACAAAGCTCCTAAGAGCTCAGGGGCTGCTGCCTGGGAGCCCATGTGAAGCACCTGTGTGGGACTGAGCCTTTTTTTTTTTTTTTTTTTTTTTGGCTTTCTCCTCCATTCTGGGATGTTTTCCCAGCAGCTGAGTGTGGAAGTAAGAACTGAGGTTGTTGACAGGAGCTGCAAAAGGAGCAGGGACACCAAGTTTCTGGGAGGATTTAGTATTTAGTAAACAAGCAGCTGGGAGGCAAACAGAAAGATTCCAGGCAAGTTTCCTACTGGAGGACACTGGAAATCAGTGACCTCTGAAAAAGAGCAAAACTACCCTGAAGATTAACAAATAATGCCATGGGAACGTAAAACAGTGCAGCCGCTATGCAAAACAGAATGATGGGCTCCCAAAATGTTAAAAATAGAATTACCATATAATCCAGCAATTTCATTGCTGCACATCTAGCCAAAACAATTGGAAGCAGGGACCTGAATAGATATTCATACACCCATACTCATGGCTGCATTACTCACAATGACCAAGAGGTATGTTTTGGATAAAATAGTGTCTCTACAAAATTTATATGTTGAAGCCCTTACCCCCAATGATACTGTATTTGGAGACAACCCCTTTAAAGAGGCAATTAGGGTTAGATGAGGAAGTGATATCAGGGAGACAGACAGAAAGAAAGCCATGTGAAGATGCAACGAGAAGGCAGCTGTCTGCAAGACAAGGAGAGAGGCTCAGGAGAGATCGACCCTGCTAGCACCTTGATCTGGGACTTTCAGTCTCCAGAACTGTGAAAAAATACATTTATGTTGTTTAAGCTTCCAAGTCTGTGGTATTTGTTAGGGAAGACCTAACAGACTAACACAAGGTGGATGCAGCCTAAGTGTCCATGACGGGGGAATGGATAAACCAAAGGCGGTTATGCACATACAATGGAACATTGTTCAACACTCAAAAGGAAGGACTTCTGACACAGGCTACATGCCACAACATGTATAAACTTTGAGGACATTATGCTAAGTGAAATAAGCCAGTCACAAAAGGATAAATACTGTATACTTCCACTTGCATAAGATATTTAGAGTAGTAAAATTCATCGAAGCTGGGAGCAGTGGCCTAAGCCTATAAATCCCAGCACTTTGGGAGGCTGAGGTAGGCGGATCACTTGAGGCCAGGAGGTTGAGACCAGGCTGGCCAACGTGGAAACCTCGTCTATACTAAAAATATAAACATTAGCTGGGCATGGTGGCACACGCCTGTAATTTCAGCTGCTCAGGACACTGAGGCACGAGAATCGCTTGAACCCGGGAGGTGGGGGTTGCAGTCAGCCGAGATTGCACCACTGCACTTCAGCCTGGGCAACAGAGCAAGACTCCATCTCAAACATATATATATATATATGAAGATGAAAAAAGTTCTGGAGATAGATGGTAGTGATGGTTGCCCAACAGTGTGACTGTACTTAACGCCACTGAACTACACACTTAAAAATGGTTAAATGGTGGCCAGGCACAGTGGCTCATGCCTGTAATCTCAGCACTTTGGGAGGCCGAGGCAGTGGATCGCCTGAGGTCAGGATTTTGAGACCAGCCTGAGCAACATGGTGAAATCTGTCTCTATGAAAAAATAACAAAATTAACCAGGTGTGGTGGCATTCACCTGTAATCTCAGCTACTTAGGAGGCTGAGACAGGAGAATTGCTTGAACCCAGGAGGCAGAAGATGCAGTGAGCCAAGATCGCACCATTGCACTCCAGTCTGGGCGACAGAGCGAGACTCCATCTCAAAAAAAAAAAAAGAAAGAAAAGAAAAGAACAAAAGGTCAGGCATGGTGGCTCTCACACCTGTAATCCCAGCACTTTGGGAGGCAGAGGCAGGAGGATCACTTGAGGTCAGGAGTTCGAGACCAGCCTGACCAATATGGTGAAATTCTGTCTCTACTAAAAATACAAAAATTAGCTGGGCATGGTGGGGGCACCTGTAGTCCCAGCTACTCGGGAGTCTGAGACAGGACTATTGCTTGAACCCAGGAGGCAGAGGTTGCAGTGAGCCGAGATCATGCCGCTGCACTCCAGCCTGGGCAAAGAGTGAGACTCTGTCTCAAAAAAAAAAAAAAGTTAAATGATAAAATTTAGGTTAGATGTATTTTAACAATTTTTAAAAATGAATGAAAGGAAAGTATAAAGAAAGACTGGTATTCTTTCTTTCTTTAACTTTTTTTTAAATTGTAGAACCAGCTGCCTGTCTCAAATTTATAAGTGCTCTTGTATATTCTGCAAAGCAGAAGAGGGCATAGCCTTCAGGTTCCCACAGAATGAGAGGGAATGTCAGCTTTGCTACATACCATGTGTCTGACTTTGGCCAAGCATCCTAGTTATTCTGGGCCTTAATGTCCTCTCTAAAAAAGGGGCAGTGGTAACAGCAACAATGGTACCTGCTCTAAGGGATGCTCTCAGAATTACACAAGGGAAATCATGGAAAGCTGGAAAGCACTTTGCAGAGTACCAGCATATGGCAAACACTCAAGGACCGGATTCTGTGTTTAGTATGACTATCTCCAAACCCCAAAGGCTGCCGGACAGAGCTCTGGCCATGTGGCAAGGCTGTACTCCACACTGACACTGAGGCCTTGACTCATCACTTTACCCCCCAGGGTCTTATTTCTGCACCTGCCTAGCAAGGTCCTTAGGCTACATGACTTCTAAGTCCCTTTACAACTTGAAAGGAGAGAAAAGCAAACAGGCACATGGACTGGAGATGGATGCACAGAATCTGGCATGGAGTGGGTGCTTAGACACTGTGTTTGGAACGGAACCAAATGTCCAGACAACACAAATAGGTTTCAAAGAATTTCACTGCACAGTAGTTCACATTCAGAGATCCCTGGTCTCCCATAGGAAGAGAGGTATAATGCCATGACCCAGTTATGGCTATAAGTATCCACTGGTGGCTGGGCACAGTGACTAACCCCTGTAATCCCAGCACTTTGGGAGGCCAAGGTGGGTGGATCATTTGAGGTCAGGAGTTCAAGACCAACCTAGCCAACATGGTGAAACCATGTCTCTACTAAAAATATAAAACCTTAGCCAGGCATGGTGGCCAACTCCTGTAATCCCAGCTACTTGGGTGGCTGTAGCACGAGAATTGCTTGAACCCAGGAGGTGGAGGGTGCAGTGAGCCAAGATCATGCCATTGCAATCCAGACTGGGCAACAGGGGGGAAAAAAAAGCAGCAGCATCCATCGGTTGTTCTCGTCCATCTTCCTCTTTCACTTTCTCCCTC